AAAACAAAATTTTCAATTTGAAGAAAATAAAAGAAAATTTTTATAAATTTATAAATTGGGATATTGACCTAGTAAAGGGAGGAGGAAAGGGAGCCCACTTTATAAAAAAGAAAACTTTATAGAATGGAAAATCTATATATTTTATTTCAGTGAGTTTAAAACTTTATGGAACTAACTATAGTATAGTACTTGTGCTGCTATCTAGTGATGCTTTTAAGAAATAAATGTTAACCATTTATTTTTATAACAAAAAGTGGAACTTATTATTTTGTTACTTATAGAAAATGCAGATTTTGAAAATATACATCCAAGACTAATCAACTTAAATATCATTTACTTATATTTCAAATGAAAAAATTAAGCAGTACGAGTCTTTAATCGCTATGATAAGAATGGGAAAATGTTGCAAAAACTGTCCTGGCCCAGTGTGAACTGAAAAGGTCCAGATGTGCAGCAATGGCTCATCGTTTTTTTTTTNTTTTTTTTTTTAGCTATTTTTACCTTCTATTACATGTCTTTGGTAAAATCATTATAAAATTTAGAAGAGAAACTGATCATTGTTAGTCTAACAAAGCTGACTCCCAGAAACAATGCACTAAATTTTAAATTTTTATTCAGAATTTGTATTTTTTATGTCATGACGTTTATTTAATATAAAGTTGTAAATAAATAAATAGAAGCAAACTAAACAAGAAATAGGCAGTTTTTATCATTCCATCATAAGTGATAAAGAGAATTCTTTGATACTTTAGTGCTGTCATCTGTAGTTGAAGGTTTAAAAACATTTTCACTCTTCATGTTAAATTCAAAATAAAATTCGAAACTTCATGATTTAAAAATATAAAACAGCAATTTTTTCGTAAAAGTTAAAGGCGTAACTCATAATGACTAAAATAGTAGAATTTTTTTATAATAATCCAATAATGGAAAACTTTTGTGATCACTAACAAAAAAATTATAATGCGTTTTTAGAATGAAAAGCGTTGGAAAAAAAGTGTCAAAAAGCTGTTTATAATTATAGAGAGAAATTTCATTTTGGAACTTGTAAAATTCTTCAATTTGCTTATCCAGAAGCATATATTGTGTTTATAAGAATGGTAACTGGTTTGGTTCTGCCTCCTGCACTTGATCGAACCTTTTACAAATTGTGTTTGCTCAAATATAGATGGAAAGAAAAATAGTGAAATTTTATAAAAATATTGAACACATCTTAATGTTCTACTAAAATATTAAAATTTTATAAAACGAAAAAGTTAGAGTGTTTATTTCGGTTGTTAACGAAACGTTTTTTTTTTCCAATTTATTTTTTAAATCTGAAACTTAATATTATGGCACTTATAAAAACTAAAACTTTTGGTGAACTTTGCTTTGAAATTTTATTAAATATTCACAATTCCTTAAAAGCCCGAAAAAGAAGTACCAAAATGTGAGATAAGACATTCTGAAATGAAAATTTAAAGAAAAAATTCTGTTACATAATAGTTACTAACAAACATAAATTAATTATACTAGCCACATATTATTTTTTTACTTTTTTAAAATTTTCCTTACGATTCCTATAAAAAAAAATAAAAGATGGCAGCACAATACACTTTTTTTAATCTTTCAAAATATATTTTACGATTTCTACAAATCACGAAAGATGGCAGCACAACATCTTTAAATCAAATACCAGAAAATTGAATGTTGTTCTGCAAAAGCGGATTTACCCATGGATTTACATCCTTCGACAATTAATGACGTCTGTCTCTGTCATGCTCCATACATTTTTACGAAATATTTTGCTTATTTATTTCTGAATATTTAGTGGCGCTATCTATCGATAATAATTTAAAGTGAATTGTAGGAATTAAGTGTGCTTTAGATTTTTTAACATTTATTCAAATTTATTACCGAATGATTAAAATAACATAAAATAAATTTGCATTATCGATGCTTCGATAAAATTGAAATTTTACGAATTTATCATTTGTTTAATCAAGAACCTGACTGGATAATAAGTTAAACTTATTAAATTTTCGTTATTTTTATTATTATATATTTTGTTAACTTCTTTTTAACAAATAAAATTTTAGTTATTTTTTAAGTCAGTAATGTACATTCGTACAAAATTTTATTTACTATTTTATTAATTAAAAAATACCTTTTAGGAAAATAAGCTCTTACAAAGCATTTGTCCGATTTCGACACATTTAAATTATTCTTTATAAATTTATTTAAGGTGAATTGAATTAAATGAATTAATTGATAACTGAAACCAGATAAACAGAATTTAAATTTTAAGTGTTTATGAAAAAAACTTAAAAATTTTGTGTCCTTAATAGTTTTTTAATTAAATTAATATATAACACTTAAATGCATTTTTAGTTAGAATTCTAACTAAATTAATAATTAATTTTAGAATCAAATTTATTAATGAGTTATTAATAAATTTAATTCTAAAATTAAATATTTTTGTTTATCATTTTTAAATTCCTTTTTTATTAAGTTAAAATTACTAATAATAGTAGAACTAAAGTTACTTGATTTGAATACATATTGATGATGACTTGATTTTAATACAAACTTAGAGAACGTTCCTATCTCATTTTCCTTCAAAACCATATTAAATTCTTCAAGGGAATTAGTGCTATTCGCAGTAATTTGTGTTACTATTTAAAGATCAAAAATGGCTGTCAAATGTCAGTTTTTATATGAAAAGTGGCTAAACTTTTAATGGTACAATAGTTTCTTTAAAAATAAATTTTACAAATTGGCTCCGTGAAACATATATTTTTATGACTTGATTTAAGCATTCGTCATTTTCTTTTTTTTTAAATTGACGATTTTTTTAAAAAAAACTTTACATTTAAACTGCAAATTTAAAAAAAAAAAAAGGCTCGGAGATTTATAGAAATAAACTTTATTATAGAAAATTTATAGAAATAACCTTAAAATTTTGCATCGTATTCCGATCTTTTTAATTATAAATTCTACAAGTGCTGATCTTTGAAATCGGGCCATACTCAGTATTCGAGCTATTAACATATGGTGAATTATTTCAATCGTAAGATTGCTAATAAAAATTTAACCGATTTAAGAAAAATCAGATCTGTAAGAATGCACATGTACAGCTGCCAAGTCTCCTTGTTTTACCCCGGGACATTTTATGTATTCAAATTGTTTGCTTTGATATCTAATCCTTAAATTGAGAAATTTCATTCAAAATGATATTGACCAACATTATATCTAATTAATCTACCGCAAAGTGTGAAATCCGGCATTCTATAGACTGCCTTGGCATTGTATATAATGCCTAAAACTAGCCGACAGTGTACGAAACGATTTATATTTCTCCCATTTCCTAGGCATTCTGCAGAATGCCAAATAAGAAACCGGCAAAGTATAAAATACATCTCCGATTTCAATTCAATTCTGTAATTCAAAATGTCATTCAAGCCTGCCATGTTGCAACAAGTAGGTTAATTTCTTATTTTTTGCATGAAAATTTTGTTTCTCTTTATATAAAAGGCATAAATTATGTTTTGTACAACTTTCATTTTTCTTTATGAGTTTTGAATAATTTTTTTTAATGGCACTTTCATTATTTTTTTCAGAATAAAATTTTTATTTTTGAGAAATTCACATCATTTACTTGATAACCTCATCAGGATGTTTTTTTCATACTTTGCCTAAATAGCAATTGTCCTTCTACAGAATGCCTAGGGAAAGTATGTAATACTTCTCATATTTTATACCTTGCTTAAAAACATCCGGCGTGATATACAATGCCTAGACATTCTATGGAATGTATGCGCTTCATACTTTGCAGGTAATATAAATATATATAAACCGCAATGCAGGCATCATGCACGACGGGGATAGGTGAGGTGAGGTGATAAACCTCGATTAAATTTGGGAGTCTGAACAATGAAAACTACAGTTAAGAAATTTCTGTTGCTAAGCAAGAACTATTAAGTTTTGCATTATTTATTTATTGTTAACACGTTACAATTTTAAAAGCTAAACAAACCAAAATTGATAAATTTGCTTATTAGCTCCAATGCTCTAAAAAATTTATGCTTTTTTTCTGAAAGTAATAAATACTAAATGCTTAAAATATAAGTTTAAAGATTTGTGAAATGATTTATATGAAGCAAAATTCTATAAAACGCATATCCTTGCGTTTCAAGATCTACTATATGTATTTTATGTTACATACAAGGCTTGATAATCATTCTGCTTTTTAAACAGCTAACAAAACTTTAAGCAATTCTGTTTAGTAATCAATGCAATTTTACTTTACTACCACTAAGAAAAACGTTCCTTTAAAAAGTGCAAATATTGGCAGTTATGCGTATGAAAAAGCAGTGAAATAAAGATATAATTGTTTCTTAAGTTTTATTTTATTGTATCAACATCGTGCTCCAAGTTATTTTCAGAAGCTTAAATACATTTTTATATTAAAAAAGGATCCTTCAATTTCATTCCAAAGGATTCTTGAGATAAAAGAGGGGTGTATAAGGAAGAGTCGTTATGCTTTAATTACCTTACATTGTTTAAAACTTAATTATTATTTCACTCTACTAGTATATTTCGTAGTATTTTTCAAATGTATTATTTAGTAATATTTTTCAAAAAACTTCTAATGAAAGATTGTTATTCAATTAAATTAGGTATTTTAGAATTTCACAGAATTTTTCTGATGAATTTATACCATAGGGGTAATTCCTTAATTTAACAATTTTAGAAAAAAAATTTCAGTTAATAGAAATTTTCCATCATTTAAATCAGTTTCTATCAGTTAAAACAAAAACAATGATAATTTTTTAAATTCAAACAGTCAAGTGCTCCAGTATTGAAATAATTTTTAAAAAATTACAAACTATCTAATTGTAATGCTTTAAAAATACAGGGAAAAACAAAATAAAAAAATGTAACTTAAAATGACGAAAGATAAGTACTCATAACAGTCATAAGTATGATGATTAAAAATCTGACAAATGATTATTGACAGCATAAATGTATGAAGCAAAGTTTTTATTTCATCTTCACAATATATACATACAAAATCAGCCAAAGTACACCCACTTCTTTCAGAATATGAAAATGTGCATCTGTTCAACAGATAGAAATTAATGATCTTATAAGCAAGTAACTAAATAAAACTTTCAAAGAAAACTATAAAAAGGCACCAAAGTTAATATTACCTTTTAAAGTATTTTACATAAAACTCGTACATCAAAAAGTTTGATTTTATAATTATACATAATAGTAAGTAAATACTATTAACATCACTCGTATCACATGTGAAAGTGTTTTTTTAACAATTAATCTACATCATTCACTTCGATAGGATTTTGATTGAAGCTGAAGGCTTAAAAACAGTGCATGTACTAATTTGTACAGTGCAGACATTAAGATAATATTTTGATTCTAATCTCAATCACAAAAAAGATATTTAAACATAAATTTTTAAAAAATATATATGCTCATTGTTAAATTAAGTTACTCAATAACGATTTTTGATTTTCTATAACTAATAATTTATTTTAAATTTTGACATTTAACTAATGCATCATAAAGTTTGATTTTATACTTACATATACTTGTAAGTAAATATTATATAAAAACGTTATTCATATCACATGTGAAAGTGTATGTTTATACAAATATTCTACATCATCACTTCCATAAGATTTTGATTGAAGCTCAAGGCTTAAGCACAACAGTGCATGTATCAATTTGTACAGTGCAGACATTAAGATAATATTTTGATTCTAATCTCAATCACAAAAAAAGACATTTAAACATAAAATTGTTTTTTAAAAAAGTATGCTCCTTATTAAGTCTAATTATGCAATAATAGCTTTTCATTTGAATAATAAATCATTTCATTTAAAAATTTGACATTTAACATTCATTATTAAACTCTATGATATTCATATTTATTAAATGAAACAATCTTTCATATTAGGAAGCACCAAATACCTTCGTAAAAATATAGAAATATATATGTATATATATCTATCTCCATTTATATAAAATTTATATACTCCATTTATATTTAGAACATTATTTAATCACAGTAAATTACTTAAAAATATAAATTTATATTTAAATATATTTAAGAACATTAATTTATATACTAAAATAATCTTTACTCTTTAATAAACACGCTGCATACACAGATTCTATAGGCAGTGTGTAGCTAAGACAGCTTAGTAGTAAATGATAAATGACTTTCAGCAAAGTATGAAGATATTTGAATAAAAATAAATAAAATAATTTTCTTATAAACAAATTAAAATTATACAAGGTTGAATTTAAGGCATGTAAAATTTTATATAAATGAAGAAAAAAAAAGGCCAAGATTTTAGGAGGCAATATTTTAACTAAACTAAAAAAAAATTTGCATTATAAAATCTGAAGTTACTCTTTCCCATTAGTTCATTTATTTACATAAGGTTGATAGTGGTACAGGAAATATTTCTAAAAATTTTACTTTGCTTTTGTTTCCATTAAGAGTTTTATCAAATTATTTAAACTGCATTCTTTCAATAATGTTTCTCAAAAATTAGCTGGCATAAAAAATAACAAATCCTCACTTAAAAAATTTGCTTCATTTTAAAAAGCAAGAATTTAATGTAAGTTCATAAATGCAATGCAAAAATGCCATAAAACACTATAAAAATCTAAGCCTATGGGAATTTTATTTTAACGAAAACTATACAGTTGCTCTAGCTGAAATATTTGTTAAATGCGAGTAAGATAATTAACAACTCATGTAGCAACTTGGACTTTTTCTTCTGGTCCACTTAACAATAAAAATAATTTTTATATTTAAAAAACTACATCATATTTCTTTCAATTACTTTTTTATTTTGTCTGCATATGAACAACTTTAAAATAATCCTGCATAATTGATTACCTCATACAAACTTTGATTTTTAAAATATTGATAAAACAAATACTTAATAATTACTAGAAAATTCATGTTTAAAAACTTTCTTATGGCTTATTGTAGATTTTAAGAGCTGTCTTTAAAAAGGGATGTTAGGTATTGACGTGATAAATGTATTAACAATCGTGTCATAAAATTAATTTATTTTGTTGAAAAAAAGCAGTCTACATTAGAGATGAATTTTTATTATAATTGAATTAAATAAAGTTAAAAAAAAAGCTCAAAATATTGTATTTAATGCATACAAAATAGTCTCATGGGTATAAGCAAATTTTTCATATTTATTTTTTCAACACTTTCGACAAATTGGATACAAAAAATGTGCATAAGAAGATATGTGCAGAACGTAACTTTTGATTCTCTCTGAAAATTTGTTTACTTTTGATTTTTTTAATATGCACTTTTAATATTTTTTTGAAATGCATAAAGATTTTATCTTAATTACATCTGAACAACATATGTATAAGCCAACTTTTAATTAATTCTGAACAGCTCACCATAAGCATAACAATTCAAAACAAAGATTTTATAAAATTAAATTTTTATGACACTCATATTCTCTCATGATGAAAACACAAAAAGTGAAAAATGTAAATACATTTTAATAATAATGAATTAAATAAAAAAGAAAAAAAAACAAAGATACGCACAAGTGAAAGCACGTTAGTTTGTACTTGACGCCGCCTCTATACATATTTACAGAGAATATGAAAATAATACTATATAAAAAGAAATATCTACCACTTGAGCATCGGACAGGAACATACTAATTAAGACCTTAAAAAGGAAAACTACAGTTTGATTTTGTTTTGGCTTTTTTCATTGAAGAAAAAATTTAGTAACAATGCAAAATACTCTACTTCTTTTAAATTAATGTTCATTCAAACACAATCATTCAATCCATTAGAAAAATATATATTTATAAATTTTAGTAAAATGTTTCTTCCAAATCACATTAAGCAATATATAAGTAAATTTTACTTTAATAAGGCTCAGTAGTTCCATAAAAATCTCTTTATAAGACTAGACAAATGTCGGGTGGAAATTCGCTGATTGCCTCAAAATCTCTTAAATTTCATTCAATTTGTCTGAGTTTTTTGCTAAATCTAATAAAACAAAATAAATTGGTGCATATTATTTACTTAAAACATGGACATTAATAAAGTTATCACCATAGATTCTCTCTCCCCAAAAGGAAACTATATACATAATGTATAGATATATTCTAGAGAAACAAAAAGCAACACCATAACATATTTGTAAATATAAAAATTTGATCTAGGCAGTAACAATAATCACAATTAACATTTTAAATGTTTTTAATGTTATCAATGAAGTAAACATCTTTAAAACTGCTAGTTAAAAACATTTAAACTGTTACTTAAACAGGTTTCTTAAAATATATTAAAAACTCAGACAAGTGTGTGTTTCTATCAAGGCAATACCACAAAAGATGATATAATTTAAAACCCACCATCCTTATGAAATGAGTTTAGATGAGTTAAGAGTGAACTCTTAACAAACCTAATGGAAATGTACCCTCAGAAAATTTAAAATGTCTCTTGTCATAAAATTTATGCAATGCGGGACTAAGAGGATGATTTAACTTCAAATGCATGTAATGAACTTCTGGTTCAGTTGTAGTATGTCCACATTCTTCACAGACATATACTTTAGCTCTTCTCTCTTTATATGCGTATTGATGCTGAATTCCATGTACTTTCAAAGTATGGGATTCTAAAGAACATCTTTGAGTGAAAGACTTCTCACACATATTGCATTTATATGGGCGCACACCTGAAAAAGAATTTTCAGATTTAAAAATAGAACATTTTAAATAGAAGGGAAAAAAACAACTTTAAATCAACTTTAAGTCTACTGTGATATAATACCTAGCCTAAGAAAATAAACTTAGTTTAATTTTAAAAATATACTCGTGGGTTTTGTCATTACAAATTTCCTAACATTCCATCATTTGGGACAATTTCTTGGCATTATGTCACGATAAATAAAAAAAAAAATAGCTTACAGAATTTTTGACAATTTTCATTCATGATTATAATGTAACGAAATTGCAATAATTCGAGTCTTAAAGTTATTTTGAATACAATAAACGTGCCAAAAAAAAAACATATGTAACAGAAACTATATTAGTAACATATACTGTTCATTTTTAAACCATATTAAATTAATGTTTTCACATGGTCGAGTTATATTGATTTAAAAAAAACTTTAAGGTTGTCAAATCTTATTCAATGTAAAATTTAATTAATGATTATGCAATCTGAAACTTAAAACCGTCTTAAAAAGCCCCCTTAAGTTTGACATTATATCACCCATATAATGGTACTTCATGTATATCATGGTACTTGAGGGGTGCAAAATCTGAGTTGGTCTCCGGTGCTGTAACCCTTAGCTAGGCCTCTGCATTTGAAATTAGTAATTTTCGACTAACTTTAACATTATGATTAGATTTAGAGATATAAAATATAAGGCAATACGGATCAATTCATTAAAAAATTTTAAAAAAATTATATATATTTTACTTACCTGTATGTGTTCTTGTGTGTCTCTTCAGATCAAATGTGTCATTAAAACCTTTGCCACAGAATGTGCATAAATACCTCTTCATATCACTATGACACTTCATATGCCTATTCAACAGCCTTTGCAATCCGAACATTTTCCCACAAACTCGACAGCTTAGCCTGAAAAGGAGTATTTTATTTTAATTTTCATTACATTACTTTACAGCTATGTGTTTTTATTAAACTATTTGTATTAAGAGGTAAAACAAAGAAAAAGTAAGTTAACTTAAATAAATTAAGTTTATGTTCTATGGGGAAGTAACAGATGATTTTAATTTAATTAATTCACATAATTCGTTACTCTTAAACTAAGAACTATCCCTATTGAAATTATTCAGTGGAAATTCGAACATCAAAGACTGTTTTTCAGCTAGAGCTAAGACCAGAGTTCATTAGTTATGGTGGAAGAAACTACAAATGTTAATGAAAATAAAGTCGAACAATGCCTGACTGAATTTGATAAGCTAAAATTACTTACCCATGGACCACAAATTGAACAGAAATTGAGTTTTAAAAAAATTAAAATTGACATTTTTATTAAGGTTAAACATTTAACTAAGAGAATGAAACTAAAACTTTTTAAACACCAACAGTAGAAATTAGGAGGAGCAATTTTTAGAATTTGTAAAAATTTAAAACAAATACTTGTCCCAAAGCAAAGCATTTAATTTAATAAAACTTAAACCATTATTAAAAAAAATGTTTCGTTATTTCTCAAAATTAATGAAAGCATAAAGCATTTCTGTTAGAAAATGCAAATAAAATCCTTAAAAATGAAGGAAATATCTGCTTTATTTACCTTCCAGCTTCAGACTCAGAAATTCCTGGAAGAATTTCTTGGCAAGGAGGGGTTATTTGAGTTAATTCTTGTCCAGTAGCAGAATGTCTATGATTTCTTTGCAGAAGGGGATTTTTAATGCCATGTCCTCCATTTACGAACTCAATAGGAGTATCAGTCGGAAGTCCAAGCTGTAAATAAAAATAAATTATTTTTCAAATTCAAATTGATAATAGCTCAATAAAAAATAGTGCTCTTAAAATTGTGCATTGCTTTTATTTTAAGCTATCTAAATCAATTTCTTATCAACTAAAAACATCTCTAACTATAATTTATCTAATGTTTGTTGTATTCTAAAACTAACTAAATTATAATAAACAACAGGTTTAAGGCTTTAGTTTCACAAACATGTTTAAACATGCGCTAAGGCTAAGCCTTACCCGCTGTTGTAATAAGCTCAGACGTACTGTTAAGGAAGACATCACTATTTTCTCTCCTCTTTCATCCAAGCTTTCTGGAGAGCGTGAAGAATTACTATCACTATCACCAGGAGAACTGGGACGCATTCCTATGGAGTAGCTATCAGAATGGGAATCATCTTGAGAGTCTGACATCGGCAAGCAAGGTCTCGTGTTATGAGTTGGTGAAAGTTTCAGATGATCTCGTTCGTGATTAAATTGCTGAATATTATTAGCATTATTGTTCTGTTCCACAACAGTTTCCATTCGATCCCGAATTTCAAATTTTGGATGACTTGTTCGAGGTACATGATAATCCAAAGGACGATCTTGTGCAGCAATAGTTTGAATGACAGGAACGGCCATATATGATGGTTGCATAGGAGCATGAGATGAACTTGATGAATCTTCCAAGGCAGAATCATCTCTGCTATCAGGTTTGAATGAAACTCTACTAGAAAATGTGGTTACAGGAACTTCATTGGTATCTGTGTTATATCTTTCAATTGGCAAAATAGGAGATGGAGGATTGCAAGGAGATATTGGTGGAGTTGTTTCAGCTTCTCCTCTACCACCTTCAGCTTTTTGCCGCTGCTTCTGCCATGTCTCAGTCCATCGTGCTCTGGGTGGAAGATCTGGTAAAAGAAAGAAATAATTAGGATCAATTCAATTTTTTTTCATGTCTTATTATGAGTAAAATTCTAAAAGAAAGCAATTAATTATTTCGTTGAATACAGAGGTTAATGATATGGAAGCTCAAAGCGTTTATACTGCGACAAACACAAATATTAAATAAATCGTTTAAAAAAAAGTTTCACAAAGCAAATTTTTCGATGCAAGCTCAATATGTTTAAAGAACAACTTAATAAAGTTTTAAGACAATATTTTATCTTTGCTTAAATATTCAGAATTAAACTTTCCATTATATAAAAGAAAAATAATGATAGAAAATGAAACATGTTTTTTTTTTCTCTTATTAATGAAAACCTTTAATAATGTCAATATAACAAATTAGAACTAGTTAAGATTAGCTAAGTTTTCTGTTTTTTTTTTGTTTTTTTTTATTCCACTCGACAATATTTTATGCAACATAGAGACCTAAATAACACGCAATATTTATTGCTTAAAAGCACTTATTTTTTCCGTAATTACATGATTACTGTAAGAGGTACAATAAAGGAAAAGAACACTTCATAATCTTGCCAGTTTTTTTATACACTTAGTAGGCAGCACACCTGCCACATATAAAGAGCATCCATTAGGAAATCACCTGCACAACTTGTCCTTTTCTACCTGTCCGCCATGAATCTTCAGTAGGATTGATGGTATTCTAATTTTTCATTGATCATTAAAGGAAGTTATTAATTTTAAGAAAAGAACATATCTAGATAGTTGAGTGATATTTCTTTTAAATTGTATTTGCTATTGTTTGCATAAACTTTTAAGCTAATATTAAAATATAAAATCATAATTAAGCTAATATTAAAATTATACTCTATTAATTAGGTTAAAAAGAGTTTTTCTATATATTTATTATGATAAAAGATATACACTTTAAGGCATGTAAATTAAACTAGATTTAATAATGTCTAATTTTATAGGAAAATTTGAAGGAAAACTCTTTGAATTAATATACTATATAATTTTAATTTATAAAATTACTTTGAATTAATATATTACATAATTTTAATTTAAAATTATCATAATATATTTTATAGCTTAAATTTAAAATTATCATAATATATTATAATAATTTTAATATTATTAATACTCTTGATAATTCGCCCCACATTCTTTCCACTTTCAGAAAAAATAACTTATTTCTTGAAGATTTATCTTAGGTTATGTAAATTAAGTTAAAGTAAAATATCGAATTTTATGTGAAAATGGGAAGAGATGCGCTGTACATTTCAACATAAAAAGTTTTATTACAAACAAGACTGGTGTTTAAACGCTTCACTATCTTCCCACTTTCCGAAAAACATCTGATTTAATTGCGAGTGGTGAAATGCGAATTTAATTACGAGCTATAGAACGAAAATTGAATTCGTTAGCTTTTCTTAAGGAACTAAATAAATTGAATGTGGAGTTTACGTATGAAAATAAGAATTAAAACATTTAAAATTCATTTAAAACAAATTACCTTTCATTTTATTAGGATTTCTTTTTTTTTAAATTTTGAACAGTTTCAATTTTAATTAAAAACCAGAAAAAGTCATTCAAGAACTCCTTTTTTCGAAAAAAACATCTTCCAACAGAGGTCACATTTCATTTTCTTCCTTTTTTTAAAAAAATTTTTTTAAACTGCATCATTTTTAATTAAAAACCAGAAAAAGTCTAATAATTATTAAAGAACTCTTTTTTTCGAAAAAAAAACATCTCCCTACGGAGGTCACGCTTCATTTTCTTCCTTTTTTTTAAACGTTATTAAATGTTTAAGGATATATCACAAAAGTAAGAAATGAACTAAAAGCGGATTAAAAATTACTTAAAAGCGATTTTAAAAATTGTTTTCATATCTAATAATACCAGACATCTCCGTAATTAATACACTTGCTAAAAAATTGTTCAATGTTTAAGAAAAATAAAATTGAATAAGTCGATAAAATTGAAAACATCTTCAAATAATATGCGACATTTTAAATTTTAAAATTAAGTCTAAAAAAAAAAGACCTAGAAGAAAATAAATAGCCCTAATTCATGTGCAAAAAAAGAATTAGCTTAAAAAGATGTACTAATATGAATCGCAAGGTGCAATGATTTAATTTCACCTGCTAAATGACCAATTAATTCTCCCTGGTCAAGGTGTGGTGTAATAATTAACGATTTTTTAAACGTTTCTAATAAAAAGTTCTGCCTTTTGTTGATTTCGATGATAACTTACAAATGGTAATTAATTTGTTAATGCATCAATAGATAAATAAGTACATATTTAAAACAAACCTCAAAAAGAGAAAGTAAGCATTTTGCACCTGCGTCGCAGAGATACGACACGGATAAAAAGTAAAGAAAGAAAAACTAGTTTGAATTCGCCCACACCTGTCTTGTGTTACGGCCTTGGCCGTGACTACATAATTATAATTGCGGCTGCTTTCACTGACATACTCCCCAATGTTCATGCTCATTTGTCAATTTTTGCACTTTTTTTTTTTTTTTTTTTNCATTTTTTTTTTTTTTTTTTTTGGCAAATTATTATTCATGAAGGTGACCTTAACTAGCTCTCAATAACGTAAATCGCACTTAATCAGCATAATTAAAAAGGAATCCTTTGGATACGTGAATTAATGTGGAATATGTTTTCATATATATTTAGTAATTCGAGATTTTGAAATTTATTCAGGTAAATTTTTTTATTTATGTATTGTAGCTTTAATTTTTAATCTTTTTAATTTAACAAGTATTGTTTTCGAATTGTTTACTCATAGCCTATAACTCTGAACAAAAATCCAGTAGTTTTCCAGATAAGTAAATTCTATTTCTGTGTCAACTATTGTGCATCATACAGGGTGCTCCCTAATGAACTCCCTAAATATATATTTTAAATTCTTGGTCGAAAATGAAGTCAAAAAAGTATGCAAATTTAGAGTCAAAATTTAATATTTAAAGGAGTCTAAATTTAATGTTTAATGAACCTAAAACACTATGTGCTGGCAAGGAAAGCTGGATGGGAAACATCAAAACAAGTTTGATTGCTGAACGGAAATTGATGTTTTTTTTAAACTTTATATTTTTAGAAACCTTATCAAATACGAAGTGCGGTAATAGCAAATTTCCTGAATATATGTATAAAAATAAATCGCCCACAAATTTAAATATATATATATATATATATTGTAACAAAAATAAATATTTTTGAATTGATTTTAGAACAGAAAATTCTCATTAAAAAAAATTCCAGAATTTTTCTTTTTTAAATAAAAGTTTTCAACTGATTATTATCAGTTTTAACAACTTATCTTTTATTACTGCTTTTCATTATTTAGCATTAATACTTATTTAAATCTTAAGTAAGCAATTATTAAAAAATTATTAAATTGCATTAAGTAGCAACAGAAACTTTATTTTTACATCATTAATCATCAAAAAAATTTTAGTTTACATGAGAATTATTTCAGGTCTTATTCTAATTTTTTTAAAAAGTTACTCTGATACATCAGAGTCACTTATTTACGTTTAGGCAAGAAAACTTTCATATTTTTAATTCAGTTTGGAACTAATTAATTGTATTCTGTGTTAAATTTGTTTCTTTTTAATTATATTCAAGAAGTCCGACAGGACTTCTTAAAAGTTTATTTATGGACATGTTTATAAAATATATAAAAATTCCATAATTTATAACAAAACGTCACTTTATATTATATGTATATAATAATATAACATGCTAAAAAAACAGGTTTGTCGTGCGCAATTCTTGTAACTATTTTTAAAGAAGAATCTGTGACAATAGTTGAGCATTAAAAATTGTGGAAAAAAAATCTTTATCTAAACCTTTGTCTTAAAAAGATCTTTAATTTTATGTAGAGTATTTTTCAATTAAAAAATATCTTTAAAAGTATGTATCAATCAAATACATTATAATTAAAACTTGATTTTTAGGTTCTCATTTTTAAATTGATTACGTTCTTAACTCAAGGGTCAACTCGGAAAGTAATTTAATAATTCGAATATTTTCCTTTCTCCTTTTTTAGCTAAGATATTTTACGAAATAATCAGAATCTGGCAACATAAAATCTCTATCGTTGCATTAAAGANTTTGAGACTTTGTCTAAAAAAAAAAAAAAAAAAAAAAAAGGAATAAGGACGATAAATAAAAAAATGAAGGAAAAAAAAAAGGAATAAGGACGATAAATAAAAAATGAAGATGCTGGCGAGAATTCCGTTAGAAATCCCCAGCAATCAAATAGTGCGGTATCTTAAAACCGTTGATTAGCACTGAAGGTTGAATCGGTGTTTTGTCAGCGAAGGTCATTTTTACTTTCACTGGTTTTATAACGTAGCCTCGTGCTGCACCTGTAATTTTCAAGGACCATGGAATGCGGCAATAAGGACTGAAGAAACTTTCACTTAATTAATAAGAAGGAAAACTAATTTCTTGTAAATGCGTAGTCGTCAAAATTGCAGGATTTTTTTTCTTCCCATTTACTCTACACAGGAGGTAAAAATTAAAAATTTCGTCACTTTCTAACCACCAGGAAAATTATTTCATCACAGTAGTATAAAATGAAGAAAAAGCTTTTAATTATCTTAACCTAGACATTGGACAAAACTATTTAATTTAAAATATCTGATTATCACTTCTAGACATCAATTCTATTATAATTTTAGACTGAAATTGTGTAATACAAAACCGCAAATTTGTAAAAAGCCTTAAGTTCTTTACAATGTTAGAAACTATTTATGTTGAGATTTCAAGCAAGCTAGTAAACCTGAATTAATTACTATTATATGTATTTTTATCAATTGTTAATGTAATATTTTTATTATAGCAATTCTTGATTTGTGTAGTTTATTTTAGAAAATTGTTGCTTAACAAAGTCTTTGTTTTAGAAAAATAATTTATTTTTTAAATTGATCATTAATTTAGTTTGATATCATTTATTTGAGTTAGAGAGATAACAGTTTTTCAAAAACTTAAAACTTTTTTCAATGGATAAAAAATTTCGCCCCAGCTTATTCTTATAATAGCGTATAATAAATACATTGCATCAAAAATCGTATGCGTATTTCTTTTATTTTTTATTTACACAAATTTTCTAAAAATTGCAATATTAATGTTAGGTTATAAATTTTTTTCTAAAAAAATAAATCAATTTTCACTAAGCATTTCTCGAGCTCATGAATAAAATACTTTCTGTACAGTTTTATATTCACATAAACCTTAAATAATTCAATTACTCGTAATAAAATTCTAATAGCAATTTCAAATACGGAAAGCTCGCAAAACAATGTACTCTTGAATTGGGTTCGTATGTAATAGGAGAAGACAGAAATTTCCTTGTATTAGTATTTCTTAATATCTTTAAAATTTTAGTATTGCTACCACTTTTTATGTTTTCCTAGGTGCGTACAACTATGTTAGAAAAGCATAACATTTAAACTGCATTTGTCTGAAAACCTTAAAATACGAAGAAGAAAAAATACATTCAAGCTGTACAGTATTCTTGTCTGAATTTCAACAATAAAATGTATAATACTGCAATGTAATAATAATGAAATAAAAATGTATCTTATTATATTTGCCAAAAGCTCATCCACTAGGGATAAGGCATACGCCTTCCAATGAGGTCCCAGGTTCGAATCCCAGCGATGCTATGTTGATGCGAATTCTGCTCACGTCTTGCACCGACCACAGTTTTGACGTAAAATATTCTCAGTGGTAGATGGATCATGGGTTAGGATTCCCTTGCCACTGAGCTAACCACGGGAGGCTTTCGTGGTTTTCCTCTCCATGCAACACAAATACTCGTTAGTTTCATCAAAAAAGTCCTCAGCGAAGGCTAGTTTGCTCCAATGCTTGATCCAAGAGTTCCCCTTGTCTTCTGGGTTGGGTGCAAAATTACAAGTCTACGGAGTTGAACATTGAAAGTCGTAAACTCAAAATCGGATCGGCTGTTCAAAGTCGGTTATATTAAAAAGCATTACGAGATTTTATTTTTGTACAAAATTAATTAAAGAAAGTGTGACATTATAAGCGATAAATAATATTTCAAATTTCTTGGATTCCTCAAACCTAAAATATAGCCACAATGTTTCCGAAATTATTATGAATTTACTTTAATCTTCATTGTTAAGGCATGAGTAGTATATTTTGCAACGTATGCGTTACAAGCCACAAATGAATTGCAACACAGATATTTCATTACATCAACTTTAAAGAATTCTGCAACCAACCATTCCGAGAAAGAATTATAAATTCGATCTAACGGATCTATAATAGTATTTATAATGAGAGGGGGCGTACATAACCAGAATAATTTTGCTGCGTACTTCAAGGCCACGGATTCAAAAAAGTATTCTGTTTATTGATAGAAATCTTTTATCTTATTCGCGCCTACTTCCTGATGAGGTTAATGTCACGGCTCTGGCAAATCTCCAACATTTCCTTATATTTTTTTCTTATTTTTATCCATTGGTTGAAGCAGGAAAAACTTTCTCTTTAAATCTTGTTCTATCATCCGTTATTTTTGCGGTGCGTCAATTTTCTTATGTTTATCAATTGTCTGTTGTTTTTTTCTTCTCTCCTTTCCAAGGTTTATGAGAGCTTGATTAGTTCTTAGGTATGGTGATTGCTTTACCTGGGGTGACCTTCGAATTTTTTTCCCTCTTACCATCTCCCCCATTCCCCTAAAGCTTTCTCTACCTTTCCTTATAGTCTGCAGGGGTAGATCTAGTTGCAATAAAAGCGATTATTTACAGGTAAATAGGAACCTAAAAGAAATTCCAAACTCTTTATTTAAAAAAAATATATTAAAAAAAAAAAAAATTCTATAAATTAACATAAATAAAAAAAATAGTTGTGAAGACTTTAGAATATAATTCGTAAACGGGACAAATATGTATTTAAAAAAAAATTGGAAGTTAATTCCTTTTAATCTTTTAGGGCGTAAATACGAAACTTACAGTAATTTAAAATTTATGCGTAATCATAAAATGAATTCCTCACAAATCTTACAAAAATTCAATGGCAAATTCCATAAAATTTGAATTGATGTGTCATCTTGGTTTAAAATTCTTACAGACAAAAAATCCACAAATCAGTATTTATCGAAATGTAATGGAATTACTATTTAGTAAGAGAATGAAAAATACAAATCATCGTCTTTAATATTCGTTGCACGATTATAAACATTAAATCTTTATATCTTAAAAATATTTATCTCTAAATATAAGAGACTAATAATGCATCACTATAGAGACTAATAATGCATCACACTAATTTTTATGAATACAATCTAAATTTCCAACTTTTATCTAATTTACATTGATTATTTATTTTCAATAAGCTGTATAGAAAATAAAAATAAATAAATGCTTTGTTATATTGGCATTGCAATAAAAGTTTTAAAATTACATTAAATTTTATTAGCAGCATACTGACGATTTTTTTTTATTAAAACGTAAAAAAAATACATTTCTCATATTAGGATTGGATTAAAATTTGTAAACATCAAAACTTACCTGTTTAAATAATCAAACTTCACTTACCTGTGATTAACATTTTCCAAGTGGATATTTACTTTCAAGTTGACTAAATAAGTACTTACCGAATTTACAACCATTTAGAAATGTTTCTCGTAAAATATACAATCTGCTTACCTTGTACAAAAAATTTCACGGAATATTTATAAAGACAAATAAAATAATACAGTAACATTTTTTAGCTATTCAGAATCAACAAGTGTACTGAACATTTTTTAATTTGTGAACGATCCCTAGTAAAGAAGGATCTTTTGAGGCAGTGAAAGTGAAATTGAGGGTGAAGGTCAGGTCTTCGCAACAAGATAACGGGTTGGGGGCCGAACTTACAATTGCAGTAACAGACGTTGGATATGCTGTGGAAGGTACTGAGTGCGTGGAGAGGGGGTGGGTATTGTAACGTTAGTGCTTACGGTTTCTATTGATTGTAGTTTGCGAGAAACAAGTTTTATTCGATGGTTTAGATTTTCAGGTTGACCATCTGTTAAAGTTATGATATTCTAACATTCTTTACCCTTGACCACTAGCTTGACGAATTCTTTGCTTTTTAACAGTACAGTAATACATTGGAACCGAAGAAAATATTTCAAAAATCTAATAATTTAAATAAATGTACATTTATGTACAACTTTCTAAAGATGGATATTAAAGGCATAACTTATGGGCTTTGTCATAAACATAGAAGAACTTCGCATTCATTATGATCTACAAAAATATAGTTTTGAACAAATAATGAAATCCGTGCTATGGTATTTTTATCCCAAAAATATCAAAATTTCTCTTTAATCGAAAGTAAAAGCAGTTAAAACTACGCGTTAGTTACAGAATCGTTAGTTGTAACGCTTTTTTTTTAAGAAAAAAAAATATTCTGATTAAAATGGAAATATCAAGATATATTTTAACCAAAAAAAGTAATTTCTGAACAAAATACGGCGAACTGTGCTGGGAAAGTATGTAAATTACCATCGAATTATTTTTTAAATTTAAATTTATTTAAAAATTTATTCCAACCTTTGAAATTTATTGAACTTGAATAAATTTGTGTGTAGATTTAGTAAAGCTACAACTTCAAGAAGAGGGAGATAAGTTGAAAATCCAATTAATAAGATAAGTTGAAAATCCAATAATATGCTAATAAGTGTAAAGAAAATCTTTACAGTTATTAGCATATTATTGGATTTTCCAACTTATCTTTAGATTTTCCATGAATAAATCTTATGCCGTATTTATTTATTTATTTTTTAAAAAAGCTGGAAATCTGCATGAAAAAAATTTTGATTCGTGTTTTACTGCAACAAAGCTCGAAGTCATTCCAAAATTAAATAACTTTTTAAAAATTACAGCACTCGATTTGAAAAATAAAACTTATTCGCAAAATACAGCGTTTCAGTCGTATTTTCGGCTAATTAACTTTTGGTTGTATTATCTTGTTCTTATTCTAAATAAACGATTCCCAAACAAAGCAAGCAATATTACAGAAACTAAAAAAAAAAAAAAACGAAGTTAAAAGCGAACAAATAAATATATTAATGGTAAATATTTAGAAATATTTAATGATTTTGCGTACTAAAAGCACTTTAATGAAGTCAACAGTACCACCCTATAGGTGCTTTTTTAATTTTATTCTAACCATGGAGCTTCTAACCAAAGAAAGTTCAAAAACAAGTTTTTTTAGATCCTGAATTTAAAAAAAAAAAATTGTTTTGCAAGGAAAAAATTCGGTTATGTAGCGGTACATAACTTGCCTTTCATAACAGTCTAACAGGTTATAGCTGTCGCATTGTTACTATCTACAGGTGACCTTAAACGTAAATATATATATATCAGTTATTTTCCAAGATCTTTGGTATTTTTTTATCACAACTTGGTTCAGTTATAAGTAAACAGGAGTGTCCCAAACCGGTTCTAGAGATGTTTGTTCCAAAACGGTAAGAAACATATACCCTCCCCATATATTCAATACATACACTTTTATTCCAATAAATTCTTTTATATCATCCGAAATTTCACTCGCTCAACTGCAACTGTGGGACAAGGAGACCCTAGTGACCTGTAGGCAGACCCCGTTCTCTCGCAACAATTCTATTTTCCTAAAGAAATATTTCATCCCCCCCTCCGCCAGAAAAATATTCCCATAGACTTTTCTAGAGCATCGAGCTTTTCTTACATCCTCCCCTTTTAGGATATGTTTGTTTGTCGGGGAAAACTACGGTCAGTGAGTTAGGGTAAGCAGTTCTCCGAGTTCCTCCCCCACATTGTCCCACCCTACCTTGACCTTGTAGCTAGGTAGGGTGGGTAAGAAATCAGCAGCACCTTTCTCACCCATCTTCTAAAAATAAATAAATAAATAAAAAGGAACCGTCTGGGGAGATGCACTCGCGATTACGTCAATAGACACCCTTATTTCCTTGCCCCTTTATTTCCTAGACTAGTCAAGAAAAGAGTTCCTGTACTTTACGTAACGCTGGTGTTGGGTGCTTTTATAGAAAGGCGTAATGTTGTCGCTTGACCATTCATGTAGAACGGTTTTTAAAATGGAAAGCAATGGTCAGTCCTCCCCTGAGGATGCAGAAACAATTATCGCCCCCACCATCAAAAAGAAATGCCAACGGCTGGAAGCAAAATTTGACAAAAGTCTATTCTTTATTGAAATTTAAAGGAAATATAAATGTGCCATCTGAAGTAAATCTAAATGGTCTTTTAAATTTTTATATTTGATATTTATAGTGACGTATGCTTAGTTTGGTATCATCTGTCCTAGTGACCCTTTTTTTTTTAATACTTTTGTGCTCTCAACAACAAGAAAGCATAAAACGTCTATATACATTACGTATAAGTATCAACGTTATTTATTTTATTTGACTCATTAAAAGATTAAAAACAAAATGAATTATTTAAGAGTAAACTAAATTATTTTGAACTAAATAACAGCGCTAAAAATACTTTGTGGTGAAATTTTTCATTGATTAATAAAAAATTTTTAGAGCCGTAAAAAATAATAATTAATAAATAAATTAAAAAAGAAACCGAACATTATAAACCAACGCTAATTTTAACTGTTATATAACGCATGAAAAAAATTTTTTTTAATCCGTTTTATTAGATTTATGAACGAATCTTAAATATGTTAGCGTCGCTTATTTTAGTCGGTTTCTGTCAACAGTTTTCCTGCTATTCAATAATATTTTCCTAACCAGGACATTTTAAAATTTACTGAAGTAAATACTAAGTGCCCCTCTTCTCTACTGCGTAGGGAGTGGTAAGAAGGCAATAATGCATTTCAGATTATAATGGGATGCATAAAAGTCATACGTTTTAAGTGTTATTATCAAAGGAGCAGACGTGTTTATATGTACGTATATAAACCTATAAGTTCCGTATAAACTTGTACGTTCAAACAGAAGATAAATAAATAAAATAATATGTGACAAAAAATAATTAAATTTTAAAATAGATTTATTTTAGTGTGCACCAGGGGTCGCTACACATCGCATATTCTATTAATCTTTTCAAGCATACTGCTAAGCCATTTCCTGGTAATTATACAGATTGGAACATACAGCTGTTTTTGACAACTTTAAAAACTTAAATAGAAACTTTGTCTAAAACACAACAGGAAGACTATTCCTGGTAAACTTTAGGTTCGCTAAGCAAAACTGGTAGTTGAAACCGACGAGGTCGGTACCTGGGATACCAACTCAAAACTGAAGATGTGGCGGTAGCAGTACTTCAATAGCTGAAGTAAGAAAGTGTATTTACAAATATGTCAATGTTGGAGCAACATTTTTAACGACGGAACTTAATCTATATTAGGATTTCAAATGAATCTTAACATTTTCGTAGCAGTTAGAAAATATTACTTACGGATTGGGATTTTTTAAAAAGAAAACTACACTTTATCTATATAAAAAAAGGACAAGTGCAAAAAAAAAATTCTTCGTTTTATCTCATTAAGCATAAGGTGAGAGCTTATTAACGTTTTTTCTTTTAAAAATCCGTGGAAATTTTTACATATAGGTAAGGTAGGAAATAAGCGTTATTAGTTTATTTCAACGAACTTCAAATTGTTAGAAGTTAAAACAATGCTGTAGACTTCACTGACAAAAGAGAATCTTAAAAATTCATCTTAATAGCTTACTTTCTTATAGACTTAATAAAATATGAATAGCAAGGTATCAAAATCTGTTATCATTTAATCTAAATATACAGAATATAGTAAAAAATCTTTATAAACTTCTTAAAGAAAATTGGCGGACTTAATTCTTCAAATAGAGTTTACTTATTTTCTTTCTGCTCATTACAATTTCTTTCTGTTTTTAACAATTACGTCAATCGAAAAACCTGGAACTATAATTTCAATTTTCCAATTGATATTTTTTAGTTTAATTGTATAGCAATAAAAAGAAAACGTGTTTAATGTTTGGGCTTTTTTTTCGGTTTCTGCTTCTAAACTGCAACACTGTATCGCTTAAAAAAATTATCAATATAGTATTTTAACTAAATCCTAAATTTAAAAAATATTTCTATCAAAATATAACAAACTCTATAAATATTGTGGTATAAATCCTATATTTTTATATGTTGAGTTAACGTAAGTTGAAACTGTAATTAAAATTTTTTTTTTTAAGTGGTTTATTGAGGTTTAGCAATATAAATGAGTCAATAGGTGAAAAATTACATCTGATTGCACACCTAACCAAAACCAGAAATGTAGCGAAGAAAAGTAAAAATGTAGCGAACTAAAAATTTTAGAACCATAACCATGAAATAAAACAAAAAAAATTACAAAATATACATTATCTAAAAACCGCACTTTTAAAATCGCAGCAAATGTAATGCGGAAAAGGGATATCAGTGAAACACCAAAAAGCCACAAATACCTTTGCAACAAAAAATAAATAAAATAACAAAAACCGCAATTAACAAAATCAATTTACCGCATAACACCTATTACTTCAAATTAACTGGCATTACGCACCTCGCTTACGAGAGAGATTATTCCAACGCAATCGGAATAATAACAGCTTCGTTAAAAACTAAAAACAAACTCAATTCCGCGAAGACCTTGATACTGAACTTGACCGCCTTCGAAAATGATCTTGGACAGTGGCCACGAAAGAAAAACAAAATACCTACGAAGTCTTCTATTTAATGTCTTCCTTTTGTGTTTTGAGAATAAACGATCAAACGCAGTTATTCTTTCAGATTTTTGGAATTTTTCTTATTTCAACATACAAGATATCCTGTCTAAAGACGTCATAATTACAAAACGACCAAAACAGATTGCGCAATTTTAAAAAAAAGACAAGGAAAATTTACATTATAACAGGGAAAAAGTTGCAGAGTGGGTGGCGATAAGAAACTGTTATGATATATCAGTGGTTAGGATTTAACTTTTTAACTATTAACCGAATGATAAAATCAATAAATTACTACACTACGCAATTTATGGCTGGCTGGGTTAGATAAATATAATTTTATTTTCATATGCATCTCCTTGAAGAATCATCTGAAAATTTTGCCCCATGCAAAAACAAAGCAGTGGCTTCTGAAACCGGCAAAATAATAAATAAAACCGGCTTCTAAACACTTTTTATTATCAAATGAAAATTTCTTGTCGAATTATAAATTTTTTTTTTCGAGAAAAAAAAAAACTCAAATTTAAGTACAATTTTTTCTTTGAATTATCAAAAATCATAATATTTTTAATTGAGATTGAAAGCAAAAATTTTTTAACATTTTTAAATAAAACAATCACAAGATTAATTTGCTAAATTTCTAACTCTCCCACTAAGTCACGTAATTATGCCCTACTAAGTAAAGAAAAAAAAAACCGGATGATCCCGGTAAGAATTTTTATTGGGATTCAATATTCATTACCGGTTAATATTTTTTAACGAAAAAAAATATTTACAATTTAAACAATCTAAAATCCTAAATAAAATAACATTTTCCTACTATTAACCTAGTAACAAATTATTAACTTAAAATCATTGACATATTTTATAAGACATGGTCAATGGTAACATTTTGAGAACTGAAGACAGTAATTAAAAGTTCTAAAAAAAACGCCAATCTTTTTTTTTTTTTTTTTTGAACACAGATTCGAAACTTGATATGTTAATTTTTTTTTCAATTTTATAAAAAAATTACGCATTATGACAATTTTTAAACAATTTTCCGCAAAATTCTTAAACAGAATGCGAATGAGCAATAAAATAATAAGAATTTAAACAATTTGAAAATTAAAAAAGATAAATAATAATATAATTGAAGAATTACCTCTTATTTAATTTATAGAATTAACAATCTTAAATCTTAAAAAATAAAATTTAATTTACGGAAGAACTTGTAATATTAAACCCTTAAGATGATTAATATTTTTCTCAAAATATTAATGTCCGATAATTTACAAAAATTAAAATAATCGAAGTTAATCAGTTTATGAGAATAAAATTTAAACTTACAAGATAATACATTGTTGCGATATTTAAAGATAAATAATAAACATTTAATAATAAATGCAAAAATATTTAAAAATACAAGCAAATTTTTTAAACGACAATCAAATGCACATTGAACAAAAATCATCATATCTCTAAAAAATTCCAAGTTTAAGAGAAAGATAAATACCTGATAACGAAGTTTGTCTTTGTTCATTTTTAACTGGAGGAGTAGTTTGAAGATGTTCTGGACTTGGAGGTGGTGTAACTATTCCCCAATTTCCATTTTTCCGTAATTGCTGGCGGTATTGGGGAGGTGGTGTAACAATTCCCCAATTTCCATTTTTCCATAATTGCTGGCGGTATTTTCGTCCAACCAAAAACGATTTTGGCATCTTGAACACAAAGTTTCGAGTCCTATCCTTTAAAAAGCAAAATCGCGGATTTAAACGAAGTCCAAGGAATTGTTGGTCAAAGTAAATAAAACAAGAGTTTCATCACTGAAGACAACTTCAAATAAGAATATCTATATGCGTAGAGAAGATGTTTATCAACTAAGTTAAAGATCCTGAAGTAAGGATGAAACTGATTCGGGAGGATACTTTGCAAGTACTCCTTACCCCAACGAAATGTTGATTGTAAATGTGGGGTACTAGTCTATCGAGAAGTTATAGGAGGGCCTACTCGTTAACACAAACGAAAGTGAATGGACGAAAAAGGATCGTGACGTCACGGAGAGGTGGCCAGATCATCCATTGTACATGGGGAAAGTAAGGGAATTTCAGGTGGCCGTGAAAAAAAAGCAAGCTGACGGGACGGGTTACCAGGTTGAAGGCCACCAAAGCATCTCTCGCCAAGATGCTTTTAAAAGGAAGCGCCAATTTCAACTGGTCCTTCAGCGAAGATGTTATGGAAGTCAGCCGTGAACTTAGGTTTCGATTTCCGTTGATCGTAAAACTTGCCAACTTCTTTTGTTGTTGATACTTCGCGATTTCTGGGATAAATATTCCTGCTATATTCAGTTGTCCCACATGTGTTTGTGTCCTAGTAGGTCAAAACGTTTCAATTTGAATGTTATGTAGACCTTCCGTTTTATAAATTAATGAATGGTGAGCTTAAGCTGAGATGGGATATTCAACAACTTTACAAAAAAAATAATATTATTCATTAATTTTACCATGATTGTCAATCATGGTAAGTCATGGAAACACTGATATCATGGATTAAGTCAATGATTTCTGTTTTTAATAATTTTAAGATGATATATTTCTATAAATGACTATTTTTATTTCAAACTGGCTAAACATTTTCTAAATTCTGCTATGAACAACACTTCATGTTGAAAGCTATTGTTCGTAATTATTATAGCTTTTCGGAAAATAGCTATTCTGTGAACTATTCTTATGTCTGTGAACGAGATTTTTGAAGTTTAATAAAAATTAATTAAATATTAAGTTATTATTACAGAATAAAAAATGAATGTTATTGGGGAGCTGGGAGCAATAACTAGGGTATCGGAATAAATATCGCACGAAACGATGCTTGAATATTTAAAGTTAAATGATTATATTCAAAGCTAATACATGAACAGCAGAATGTCAATTTGTGGTTCATTTATATGAAGATGCTAATGATTAAAGAGCTATACGTAAATGACGTTAAACACTCTAACTACACTGATCCAAAAAATTACTAAACTATATCTGACGAAAAAAAATTAACTTAAAGGAAAGAAGATAAGTACATACATATTCCTTTTCACTCCGAATTGGAGCATAGGGCTTCTATCATAACTTTTCATCTCATTCTATTTGTGGCCAGATATTTTGCCTTTCTCCATGTCTTTAATATTGTTTTCAATTTGCTAATCATATTATTTTTGTTCAAAGTATTTTTAGGTCTTCCTCTTTTTCTATTGCCTTGAGGGTTCCAATAAAAAACTTTTTCCCTTTAAATTTTTCAGGTTTACGTAGTAAATGACCTATCCATTTTCATTTACGTTTTTTAATTTTCAGATTAATCCGTTTTTGTTTTGCTTTTCTAAGGATTTCTGCTTTGACAAATTTTATGGAACCACTTGATACGTAAGATACTTCTTAAACAGTTGTTAATAAATACTTAAAGATTTTTCATGTTATTTTTATTACAGTGCCATGTCTCAGACCCATATAGTAGGACAAATTTAACATTAGTACTGAAGATTCTAATTTTAGTTGAATTTATTATGTTTTTTTTTTAATTCTAAATTTATTGAGAATATCGTAACTGCTTCTGGCTTTGTTTAGTCTATTTAGTATATCTTCATCACTTCCTCCTTTGTTGTTAATTATACTTCCAAGATACGTAAAACAGCTTACTTCCTCCATTTTATTATTTTCCAAAAATATGTCATTTAATTGTTTAAGATTAATTTTCAAAATTTTAGTTTTATTTTGGTTGATAATAAGTCCCATTTTCTTTGCTCTACTTTTAAAATGTTTGTGTTTGTTTTCATGTCCTGAAAAGTGCTGGTCAGTAAACATAAGTCGTCTGCAAAATCAAGATCATAAAGACGTTCAGCAAGGTTCCATCTTATACCCCTTTAATTCTTTGATACTTTCTTCATAATCAAATCCAGTGGCGTAGATAGATTTAGGTGTGCCTCTCTGCAAAATTTATAAATGCTCCCTATCTTAGATTTAAATGTTTTAAAATTTTAATATGAAATAAAAACATTATGAAGATACATTGGAGTATTTATAATCATTCATTTTATTCTTATATTTCAATTTAAATTATTTTAATTTCAACTAAAAAGGAATTAATAATTACGAAAGAAAGGGGGAATTTAGAATTGGAACATTGTATGCACTTAGCAACTTATCATATTTGAATGAAATTCATCTTAATAATACGAAAAAATTAATCACTTTATTGCTATAATATATTCAAAGTTTAATTAAGGGTTATTATTATTTGAAGAGTGAACTAAAGAAAATCCTATAAAAGAAAAAATATTTTTATTGTAATTCATATACTGTAGGGGTGCACAACCTTTTCTTGAATAAAGGGCCGTATGCCCCCGTACCTAGACATGTTGACGGAAATAATGATAATTTTAACATAAATATCAGTGTTTCAGACACAATTCTTTTTATCAGTCAACTTAGTAAAATATCTGCAATAAATTAAAATTTTTAAATAATTAAAAAGAATTTATTACCTCAATTCATTTTTTCCCCTTTCTTCATGCAACTTTGTAAATATTTGCATAAAATTAAATTCTTTTAAATGTTACAATTCATTTGAAACTGAAAAATACCAAATTGATACTTTTTCAAAAATAAAATATTTTCTTCTTATCAAAGAACAGATTTGTCGAGAAAAAAAATATAAAGACGGGTGAAAAGTGATGTTTTTTTTCTCATATCACGTAACACAAAAGTTTATTTTAAAACAAATTACCTCTAATGTTCGTAAATGAAAATCGCAAGTCGTTATAATACCAGATTAAAAAATATCAATATTTTCGAAATCCAAGGAAAAAGCGTAGCAATAACTGCTGAAAAAACGATTTAAGAAAAAGCTCTTAGATTTGCGATGCCTCTAAAATTTATGTGCCCTTTATTTGTGGCACAAATAAAGGGCATATTTAAATGCGTGATTCGAGTGTCGTATTAATACTTATTAAAAAATATCAGGATCATGTGGTAAAAACAATCGAAAAAAATACTTAAAGAAACGATACGATACTTTGAAAAACAAGTATAAATCAAACTTTAGTTACGAGTTAACTTCGATATACGTACTTATAGAAACGATACAGAAATAGTACCTAAAGAAAGAGGGTACATAGAAAATAGCGCGAATACTATTGACGCAAATAAATCACGTTAAAAGTGATTACTATTTGCACAATTCAAAACTCGCGAGAGGTTATAATGTATGCATGAAAAAGATTGGAATTTTAAGAAACACGTGATAATCCAATAATAACCTCCTAAAATACGATCGAAAAGTAACTTAGATTAACTATAAACTGCACATAAAAAAAGAATTTTAAAAGTGATTACTAAAACTCGAAATTCTAGTATCATAATTTTGTCGAAATAAAAATATTGGGATTTTTAAAACTTTGAAAATTCGTAGCGATAGCCACCGAAAAAAGCGATCGAAGAACTAACTACATTGATTTAGATTTGGCTCATTAAAAAATGCACAATTCAAAATTTATATTTTTCATTTTCCAAAAAAAAATTATAATATTTTTTAGAAATTATATTTAGGTGCTATCGCGGGTCTCACACGAAAAGCTGGTATACAGCATATTGTGCATTCCTCTCATAGTGTATTTATTATTTCTGGATTGTGCGTCCTCAAACCTCGTACGCCTCATCGCGGGGGTGTTATTTACGCCACTGCTTCAATCAATAGCAATTAAACAGATGGCTGGAGAAAGTATACAACCCTGTCTAACACCGGAATCAACCTTGAAAGATTCTGATTGTTGGCCGGTATGGATAACTCGTATATTGTAATTTTTATATATATATTTCTGATAATGTTCACAAAACGTTCGGGAATTCCTTAGTACTTCCAGAGTGAGACTCTAGATTCTTACAATTAAGGAAAGCGTACATTGATTTTTTTTAAGATTTCCAAACTTTTATCTCAAAAAGAACAAGAAAGGATCTTAAAACTTTCAGAAAGCTTTGATGAGTGTTTCAATGGCAGAATTCAACAAAATGGTAATTGATTAAAAGCTGTCATAATTTTCATTGTAATTAAAATCTTGATTAAATGTAATAGTATGATATTTGTAATCATGATTATGTGTGACATTGATTATAAGTGATCCTGATATGAAGTAGTCATGATTTCAAATAACAATTCTTTGACCACGTTATACTTTTAAATTGATTGCATGTAGTTGCGATGTCTAAGTTTTATATTTAAAGAAAATTTCTTTCAAAGAAATTATATATATATTTGGTTAAATAAATGTCTTAACTATTTTATATCGCATTGAGAAAGTAATAAATGTAGCTGTAATCAATCAATGCATATGTTTACTAGGATTCAAACTAACATTTAATCCTTTTTATTTGCAATAATAGAGCATATGATGTGTTTAATGTAATCACAATAGAGGGAGAGATTTACCACTCTTACGTAGCATATAGCGAGTTCTCATAGGTTGATTCTGCAATAATTCTGCAGAGAACTGATATAGTAACTACATTGCGCAAAACATTCATGTGTGAACATGAGGAAAACTACGCAAAAGCGACATATGTGCCGATCATAAAACTTACAGGTCAACCAAACTGAGTGAATTACTGCAGTAAAAAAAAAAATTACATTAATGACATTTCATTTCAAAATTTGAATTTTTTTTAATTAATCTTTAACAATAGGATATATTCTAAAGGAATGTTTTCAGATTTTTGTAAATAGAATTGTGTTAAAATCTAAATGTATATTTCTGAGTAGTGCTATTAATATGCATGCATCGTGTCCTTACTTTTAACTCTGATCCAAAAAAAAAACGAAAAAAAGATCACTATTCAATTTAGAATCTTTGCCTAAGCTGAAAACTTTAGCTATAAAAGAAATTTTGGTATCCGAAAAGTATGAAAGCGAGAAACATATTTCGAGAAGTACACAGTGAACGAAAAATCTAATGATACAAGTGTAAACTATTTTCAAAGGGCAAAAATGTACTCGACTTAACTCCCTCCTCTCTGCTCAACTTTAAAGCCGTATGTAGAAACCCACTTTTTATT